ACAATGAAAATTAGCTACTTCGCTTATGTGAAGGAAGAAAGAAAAAATATATTTTCTCTTGTCACTTATAACATGAATTATAAAGTCGGAACTACGTTCATCGAACCTCAGATACAAAAAAGTCAATTTGTTCCGAAAAGAATGTGAAGAAACTGCACGTATAAATTAATCATCAAAAATTATCAGATACATTTATGTCTACAAGTATTTGTAGCACGGATGCGAAACGGAGCTTCGCATCACTTGCGATACAAAGAAACCGTAGCATTGCAGGCCAGCAAACAGAAAACGAAATAAAATTTAAAAAAAAACAGAAAAATAATTGAAAACAATTTTTGGGATAAACTAAACAACTCAATTACTAAAACTGTAGAAATATCGGCATAAATTAAACGCTTATTGTTTAGCGAGCGGTTATTAAGCCAAAAATACGTGGGTAGGCGCTAATTGAGCGCAAAACAAAAAAATCCATAAAAAACATTGGCAAAAAATAGCGATTCAGTTTCAAAAGTTTCAACTTTCTCACCAAAACTGACCATTGAAACAAAAAAAATGACTTTGTTCTCTGTAAAATTAAGTAACCAAACTTCTGAAAACCTTATTATCAGAATTTTTTTCTTTTTAGATATGAAGCTGAGCTAGATCTAAACACTAGGCCTATCTAAACGAATAAGGCCTAATTTGAAGCCAAAACATGCCAAGACAATAAAAAGTAAAACGAGCCTCGATAGAAAACTAATCAAGCGCAAGGAAGCCTAAAATAAGTTCAAGTCAAAAAAAAAATTCAATAAAATTTAGATCCCCTCATCCTCAAACACACACACACAACAAATTATTTGGGCATCAAATGAAAAAATACGAGCCCACTATAATTTAGGCCAAACCCTATTGCGCCGGGAAAAAGAGAAGAAAAAATACAAAAAAACAGACAAAAAAAACAAAAATCAAGACAAATAACAACTTATTAAGTCGCCCTCACCATCAAAACACTTACACATATTAAAAAGGAAAAAAATTACGGGAAAAAGAAGTCTAGTACCCGATTGCAAAAACCTTTCTTATCGCGAGGGTTAAAGAAACAGAACATCATTTTCATGAGCTAAAATGTTTAGCTAAATTTATCCATAAATTGATCTATATCATGGAAGCAGATTTGACAAAAATTTTTAAAAAAATCGTTCAAAAAAAATATTTACACGTTTTCTCTCAAGATTTTCCATTGAAAAATAAAATAATGAACAATGAAAATTAGCTACTTCGCTTATGTGAAGGAAGAAAGAAAAAATATATTTTCTCTTGTCACTTATAACATAAATTGAGCAGTTCACTTTTTGTAATTTTTAAAATGAGACTTGGAGAGTTTCTGGAATATCAAGTTTAGGCGTTAAAACCTCAATCCTATAATACACCCCCGCTAGCACCCAATCACAATTCATGCAATTACGGTTAGCATGCAATCAGGATTCAACATTTTTTTCTAACTATAATTTGCAAATTTAATCGGTTAACTCTTCATTTTGCAGTAAAAATACAGCTTACAGTTATGATAAAAAAGAATTCTAATACTGTTTGCAAAATTATGTCAATATCCTCGGGGATAAATTTTTGCGCTGACAAAAGGTTGGGAAAACTTGGTAGTGCGATATCGTATGAAAAATTGATCGATGTGATGTCGCGCCACCAGGTTTTCCTTTGATAGAATTTTTTACAAGGGTTTTGAATGTAGTTTTGTTGTCGACAGTCTTTTGGAATTGTCTTACTTTCAAACAAAATCAGATAGTTTAAAAACGTTGAGAGATATATTCCATGACTGAACCTTTTTGAGTAGTTTGTGTCGAGAATTTGAGTAGTTCGTAAACATGAGTTTCAAAGGCCTATAAGAAATTTTTATCCAGAAAAACATCACGATAACTACCGCTAGGCTTTCGAAAAAGAAGAAAAAAAATTTTGTTTTTATTAGAATTAAACATTCAAGTTAACTGTAGCTACAACTTTTGTGAATGAAAATTTAATACTGAACGATTGGAAACACAATATTTCTATAGTATGTAGGCAATTGATATCGTGGCGAATAATGTCTTATCCTTGTTTTCATCCCGCATTGTTTTCCGAATCTCATTTTCAACGAATTATTATGACTTCGGAATAATAATTTAGAGTCAAAAAATAAACCTAGATAATTACAAAGAGGTTTAATAATCACCTCTGAGAAATTAAATGACTTTTAAATTGCGAAGCGTTTTTTGTTCAATTGTTTTGTCTTATCGGTAAATATAGTCAGCTAATATCGTGCAACCAATGGTCAAGATCACAAAGATCAGTTTTTTTTTTCCATTTTAATGTATATAATCTGGCAGACCATAGCAGTGATTTTGGCGTAATTTGCAAATAAGGTTACATCAGCTGTTTTACATGTCACGGACAAATCATTAAAGTATATACGGAACAACAACGGTAAAGTAAAATTGATCTTAATGAGACGCCGAATTTCGTTCTCTTCTAATATGAAGAAAAAATATTTCTTTCAACTCGTTGTTGACAATCGTTGAGGTAGGACGTTAACCATTTTAGACAAATTGAGGTTGCATCTATTGCCATTTGCATCAAAAGTCATGAGAAGTTTTTCCTGATTGAGAGTTCAACAACTGCTTCTGTTTTACTAAGTTTTTATCTGAACCCAAACTAATTGCTATACATCAAAGCGGACTTTTCCGTGTATGCGTACTTTCGACAATACATTGTTCTTTTTTAAAGCCTATTCTAATTGTTGACACGAGAAACACCTTGTAAATGGTTAAGTGCTCGTCTAGATAGTTTCTGAACTGTTACTGTACATTTTTTGTTCAAACAGATACTGGGTGTCCTGATCGGTACACTGTTTTTGTTCTTTTTGTGACTTGTACTTAAAAAACACTTTAGCACTAAAAAACACTTAAAAAACTAGCAATAACATACTTCAGCCTTGCAATTTTCGTTGATACAAGAACGCCACGCGTAATCTGTAACATTTTTTGAAGGTTCTAGCGAGGGACAACTAAAAATTAGGTGCTCGAATGTTTCGCATTCTAAATTACAATAGAAACAATCGGGGGCAATCTCGAGAAAGAAAAACTACAGCTTTTCGCAATCTTTAAAAAAGCAGCGTACGCAAATTTATGAAGAAAGTTTTTTTCCCATATAACAAGCATTGATTTTTTCCAGACTTTGCCTGTGAATTTAATCAATTCTCCTTCTGAACAGAGATAACAGTTTGCAGCAAAACACATACAATAAGTTAAGAGATTGGCTTTTGATGATTACTCGGTAATTAGTAAAAAAAACTAGCCCTGACGTTTTCTATTTTCCTTGAATTTCCTTTGTTTTTTGTTTTACGTTTACAATTTTATTTGGCCTGAATAGTTTCGACCTTTGTTTTGGTTACAGCTTTATCCAGCCTGATATATTTCGGCTTTTCTTTTTGGTTGCCGAATTGCTTGACTTAGAGTTTCCAACCAGTTATTAGTTTCATATTAAAATTTCATCTTTGAAATATGCGGAAGAAAAAAATTTTTTGTGAAAATATTTTACCACTGTTTACACCAGTGAAAAGGCTAAGTTTCTTTGAATTTGTTTTTCAAAGTGCTGAAATATTGAAAAAAATTGTATTAAAAAATAGTTTTGAAAGAGATAGTTTTAAAAAGAAATTTTGACAGTTTTCCTTCTAATATTTTAGTCGATCTATCGATAGTTCTAGGCGAATCTTCTTGGTTCATGGAAAGCTGGTCTGTTCGTTACAACCCTGGCGATACGCAAGGGTATTGCAATCGGGTACGAGACTTTTTTTGCTTGAAAATTTATTCGGCTTCTAGGATTTCGGGAGTGTTTTTATCGGCTTACCGACCTATTTAGGGATTTTAAAGCAAGCATGAGTTTTAAGCTTTACCGCGGATTGCTCAAAGTGCTAAAAAAATTTAGGTTATAGTTAAAAGTTTTTCATGACGACAGATATATTTTCAATTTTACTGAAAAGTTTTCAAGTTTCGTCGGCTCAGTTGCCGCTTGTTAATTATTTTAGAGTTTTCATTAATTGCCGTGTTTCTGGACGTGTTTTTTGCAAATAGAACAGATTCCAGACAAAATTTTTGATTTTCTGAAGTGTTTTTTTTTCCTTATTTTTTGGACCTAGCGCCTCTCCTTTCAGCTCTGCTTGTGCGCTCTGCTATTTTAAAGTTGTATCGCGAGTAGGCCGAAGCTCTGCTTCTCCTCTGTGTTTAATACTGGTGGTTGTGTTTTTAGCGAAAACTAAATATCTTAGTGATGATTTTTTTTTATTAATCGATCGTCGCAATGCTTCACTTTGATGCATATGTCAGTAGATTCAATTTGCTCTTGTTTCAATTTATTGCCTTAATTTGCTTCGGAACTGAAAAACGTCAATAAGTTTTAAAATTTTTTGAGCAAAAAATTGAAATTTATACTGATGCTTCATTTTTGCTGATCATGTCCATATATTCAACTGATTTGCCAACATGTTTTGAAGCCAAAAATTGCCGGCAAATTATTCAAAAGAACTTCGAGTCAAAAATTGAGCTTTGTACTGATGATTATGCTAGCCCATGGTCGCAAGGCTTCATTTTATAGCTCATAATTATCGATTCAATATTTTTTACATCTTTGAGAACTTGTTTTTACAGCACTTGCAACCCCGGATTTCAAAAAAATCTGTAAAATTTTCAATATTCTTTGCTATCTTTTTTTTGTCTTCCTGATTCTGGGAGTTTTCTTAAAAATCATTGCCAATTTTCAAGATGCCTGACACAATCTTACCAAGTTTTCAAAGATTTTTTATTGAAGATTTTTCAAAAAACCTTCTAGATTTGTCAAAGATTGCATAGGTTGCTGATCTTGGGACAGTCTGGTTAGCTGATTGCTATAATGTGATTGTGAAATGGTGATGTGGTTAAATACGTCTTTAACAATGCATGTAGAAAATAAAATTGTCCAAACAGACAGATATAAACCTTTATAAGCCGACTCTTTATAAGTATCACCATCTGGGATACAAGGGTTTCCTTCTTCGTCACAGTGACCGTACAATACACCTCCTATAAAACAAAACGATTTGCAGTTAGCTGTTCTAGTCAATCAAGTTCTTTCTATGCAAAATTGGTTTGTTGTATACCTGGGATATCGTCGATTCTTGGAACTGACTGAACCGGTCCGTTCAGATTTTCAAAATAATAGTCCATGAGATGGGAAACTTGTTCAATGTCCTGAAAAGAAGAAACTTACACATCACATCAAATACATATACTTTGACTATACGTAAAATTTGTACACTGCGAACAGCTGATCTTACATTTAACTTGAATGATCTGTCGCAATCTGCTGGATTAGGAGGCTTAAGCTCTTTCGTGCACAAAGTTAAACTGTTGAATCTTGGTGCCAAGAAAACAAGCAAGGCGACAAGATACTTGAATCCTTCATCGCCATATGATTTCTGGTGTGGCTTTGGTACCAAACGAGATATACCATCCTTCTCAGATACTATTTGAAGGTTGACGATTTCTTCACAAGGCAGGGTTTGAATATTTTCTTGATTCACTCCCATTGCCAATAAAATTACTGGAGTAATCATGTTGAACGGTGTCACTTGCCCGAGTAGTCTGTGAAGTTCGATAAAGTGTGAAAAGTCAAATGCCTTGTCTGACTTTGTAACTATTAGTACCAGAAACGCTTGACTTCTCTGGACGTCTACCAGAAGCTGATAATTGGATCGAGTAATGCCTGATAGAAGTTTTTCGGTAATATCTGGAAATACAATTTCATTCAAGTGTACTTTTACACGTAAGCAGTCATGCTGTTTTAGAAACTGCGCAATTGGCGCATATTACGTATGTTGCCGCACTCAGTTTCAAGAGTAATAATCGATTATATAATGATTTTAGTACCACCCGGGGTTGGTAAAAAATGCTTTTCATGCAATTTTCATAGATTAAAAAAGTGCTTATCATACTATTTCATACAACTTCATAGACCAAAACCAATTGTATGAAAATTCTTTCAATCTTGGAAATTTAAAAGTAAGAAATTGCCACATTCTAGAATTGAACTAAAAACTCATTGCCCTACTTGTTATCAAATATTCTATGAAAATGTGTGATAATTTTTTTTTCAAGCATTGAAATTGTAGGACATTTTTTCCGTAAAAAATTCACAAAAAAATGTTTTGATTTTTTGAGCTTCATTCGAAACACATAAACTTGAAATTTTCTGCCATAAGAAAACCAGAGGGTAGCTGGAAGTTATCACGCAGATAAACTGAATCTGGTGACACTAGCCATGTAAGTTAATGCTAACCTTTTTGCACAGAATTATATACCAGAAACGTACCTTTTTGTGTGTGGCTAGAAAACATTTGCGTTGAAAATTATGGTTTCAGAAAAAAGGCTTGTTTTTTATACAGGAGTATGTTTTTTACCATATGAAAACTATAAAAGATAATTGATTTATTAAAAAACACCCGCCTGTGATTTTTGGATTTTTTGGGGCAAAAACTCAACCTGGACTACCTTATGGACACAAAAAATCAAATTTTGCATGCAATTTTTTTCCCTTAAAATCGATATCTGAGCACAGAAGAAAATTTGGTACCAAAAAAAAGAATCAAAATGATCAAATTTGTTTTTTTTTCTGCGGAAAATTGCGTATCATAAAATTCACATAAATGAAAATTGTATGATAAGCGTTTTTCGATAAAAAATCAGAATTTGGACAGTCAAAACAATCTCAATATATCAAAATAAATATTAAAATAAATCATTCAAGTTCACCGCTTCGAAAGCGCTTTGAATCCTTTCTGAAAACTTACTTTTCCAATAAAAAAATGCTTCTCACATCTGACAAGCTTATTTTCAGCCAAAAAAAATGGTTTTTTTTATGACCAGAAAGTTTCTAAGGCGCCAGATAGACAAAAAATATGTACCAAAAGTCTTTCGGATATTTTTATTTTTTGTATGGAATTTTTATAAAGAACAATTTTTTCATAGACCTCATCTACAAAATCGTTTGACAACCATTTTTTTGTTTAGACGTCAACCCGGGCAGTCTAATTTCATTGAAACAAAAATGGTTTTAATTAATTTATAGTCAATAATAACTTTTCCTTTTTGAAATCAAATTATAATCACTTACATTAGATTTTCATCGACTATGAACAATTTTTAATCCATCTATTTTTTTGAAAAAATTATAATCGATGATAATCGATAATTTTTATACAAATTCTAAATCGAATTGTTCGCACAAAAAATCCATTTCTATCAATATAACCGACTATGATCACTTTTGTTTGCCCATGTTGTATTCATCCTTGCGTCTGATTTGCATATAATTCATGTTTTTCGTAGAAGTTGGTCTATGCGAAAAATAGGAAAGTTATTGTTGCACTTTTTTAATCAATTCAAATATTAAACGTTTTCATTTTTCTTTTCTTATCGATTTGTTTCATGATGCTTATCTAACCACAAAAAACTCTGTCAGGATTGGGGGGAAAAGAAAAACAGACAATGCTTAGACAGGCTTGATAGCCTTTCATAGACTTCTGCGAATCGCAGAAACAACAATAGTTAATATTGTAACATCAGCACATTGTTAAGTTTCATACTTTATTTGGTAGATTTATTTTTACCAACAGTGGGCACTTTTTCAAATAATATGAGGGATCTCTATGATCCTTTTATTTTGTTTTAAGACTGTGTATAGCCAAAGTGTGACAAGACATCTCAATTTAAGAGACTTTGTTATTGACAAAAAAATAACTCGTGTGATATTATTAAAAAAAACTTTTTGTGTGAAAACATTTTGACAAAATAAGAGGTTGCTGTAAATTATTATCGATTATAATTGATCAAAATAAATTTTGTATTGACTATAAGTTAAACAATTCATTTATAATCGATTATATGAGATTATAATTTCTCCGAAAATATCAAGATTATAATCGATTACAAAACCTTTTAACCTCTAAATTTGGGAATTAAAACCAATTACAATTGTCAAAAAATCAACATGTTAATCCGTTATAACACAACATCCTGGCGTCAAAATGCAATACAGTTCCTTTCTTTTTACATTCAATACACAATTAAAACAAAAGAAATTTTTTATCACAAACTAACACATTATACAATTGCAGTTAATTCCTTAAAAAATCTAACGAAAAATTGTTCTATTTTGTTTTACAATATTCGAGCCCCATCAGAGGAAGACCCAAACTTCCCCATTTTTCCTCAAATAACAAAAAAAACACCTCCTCTTACCAATTTTAGTATTTGTAATATTTTTATTTCAGATACCATTAACTATTCCGAAGAAAAAAAACGAGATTTTTTAAAAAGTTTTATTGCTCTTTATCTTCTGCATAGTTTTCCATTGCAGCAGATAGTTTTCTCGCTCCTCATCTACTGCGGGGCTAGGGCTTTTTTACTAGACTGACACTTTACTAGACCGACTTTTTACCAGACCGATCTTTTACCAGACCAACCTTTTACCAGACCACAATGCAATAAATCGATTAAGATAAGTTTGAATTAGTGGACAATTAGAAAAGGAAGCGGTTAGAACAAACAAAATTTAGCTGAGAAACCGTGAAATCATTGATCATTGTCTTTAATCAGACTAAACGGAACTGAAAAACGTCAATAAGTTTTAAAATTTTTTGAGCAAAAAATTGAAATTTATACTGATGCTTCATTTTTGCTGATCATGTCCATATATTCAACTGATTTGCCAACATGTTTTGAAGCCAAAAATTGCCGGCAAATTATTCAAAAGAACTTCGAGTCAAAAATTGAGCTTTGTACTGATGATTATGCTAGCCCATGGTCGCAAGGCTTCATTTTATAGCTCATAATTATCGATTCAATAATTTTTACATCTTTGAGAACTTGTTTTTACAGCACTTGCAACCCCGGATTTCAAAAAAATCTGTAAAATTTTCAATATTCTTTGCTATCTTTTTTTTGTCTTCCTGATTCTGGGAGTTTTCTTAAAAATCATTGCCAATTTTCAAGATGCCTGACACAATCTTACCAAGTTTTCAAAGATTTTTTATTGAAGATTTTTCAAAAAACCTTCTAGATTTGTCAAAGATTGCATAGGTTGCTGATCTTGGGACAGTCTGGTTAGCTGATTGCTATAATGTGATTGTGAAATGGTGATGTGGTTAAATACGTCTTTAACAATGCATGTAGAAAATAAAATTGTCCAAACAGACAGATATAAACCTTTATAAGCCGACTCTTTATAAGTATCACCATCTGGGATACAAGGGTTTCCTTCTTCGTCACAGTGACCGTACAATACACCTCCTATAAAACAAAACGATTTGCAGTTAGCTGTTCTAGTCAATCAAGTTCTTTCTATGCAAAATTGGTTTGTTGTATACCTGGGATATCGTCGATTCTTGGAACTGACTGAACCGGTCCGTTCAGATTTTCAAAATAATAGTCCATGAGATGGGAAACTTGTTCAATGTCCTGAAAAGAAGAAACTTACACATCACATCAAATACATATACTTTGACTATACGTAAAATTTGTACACTGCGAACAGCTGATCTTACATTTAACTTGAATGATCTGTCGCAATCTGCTGGATTAGGAGGCTTAAGCTCTTTCGTGCACAAAGTTAAACTGTTGAATCTTGGTGCCAAGAAAACAAGCAAGGCGACAAGATACTTGAATCCTTCATCGCCATATGATTTCTGGTGTGGCTTTGGTACCAAACGAGATATACCATCCTTCTCAGATACTATTTGAAGGTTGACGATTTCTTCACAAGGCAGGGTTTGAATATTTTCTTGATTCACTCCCATTGCCAATAAAATTACTGGAGTAATCATGTTGAACGGTGTCACTTGCCCGAGTAGTCTGTGAAGTTCGATAAAGTGTGAAAAGTCAAATGCCTTGTCTGACTTTGTAACTATTAGTACCAGAAACGCTTGACTTCTCTGGACGTCTACCAGAAGCTGATAATTGGATCGAGTAATGCCTGATAGAAGTTTTTCGGTAATATCTGGAAATACAATTTCATTCAAGTGTACTTTTACACGTAAGCAGTCATGCTGTTTTAGAAACTGCGCAATTGGCGCATATTACGTATGTTGCCGCACTCAGTTTCAAGAGTAATAATCGATTATATAATGATTTTAGTACCACCCGGGGTTGGTAAAAAATGCTTTTCATGCAATTTTCATAGATTAAAAAAGTGCTTATCATACTATTTCATACAACTTCATAGACCAAAACCAATTGTATGAAAATTCTTTCAATCTTGGAAATTTAAAAGTAAGAAATTGCCACATTCTAGAATTGAACTAAAAACTCATTGCCCTACTTGTTATCAAATATTCTATGAAAATGTGTGATAATTTTTTTTTCAAGCATTGAAATTGTAGGACATTTTTTCCGTAAAAAATTCACAAAAAAATGTTTTGATTTTTTGAGCTTCATTCGAAACACATAAACTTGAAATTTTCTGCCATAAGAAAACCAGAGGGTAGCTGGAAGTTATCACGCAGATAAACTGAATCTGGTGACACTAGCCATGTAAGTTAATGCTAACCTTTTTGCACAGAATTATATACCAGAAACGTACCTTTTTGTGTGTGGCTAGAAAACATTTGCGTTGAAAATTATGGTTTCAGAAAAAAGGCTTGTTTTTTATACAGGAGTATGTTTTTTACCATATGAAAACTATAAAAGATAATTGATTTATTAAAAAACACCCGCCTGTGATTTTTGGATTTTTTGGGGCAAAAACTCAACCTGGACTACCTTATGGACACAAAAAATCAAATTTTGCATGCAATTTTTTTCCCTTAAAATCGATATCTGAGCACAGAAGAAAATTTGGTACCAAAAAAAAGAATCAAAATGATCAAATTTGTTTTTTTTTCTGCGGAAAATTGCGTATCATAAAATTCACATAAATGAAAATTGTATGATAAGCGTTTTTCGATAAAAAATCAGAATTTGGACAGTCAAAACAATCTCAATATATCAAAATAAATATTAAAATAAATCATTCAAGTTCACCGCTTCGAAAGCGCTTTGAATCCTTTCTGAAAACTTACTTTTCCAATAAAAAAATGCTTCTCACATCTGACAAGCTTATTTTCAGCCAAAAAAAATGGTTTTTTTTATGACCAGAAAGTTTCTAAGGCGCCAGATAGAAAAAAAATATGTACCAAAAGTCTTTCGGATATTTTTATTTTTTGTATGGAATTTTTATAAAGAACAATTTTTTCATAGACCTCATCTACAAAATCGTTTGACAACCATTTTTTTGTTTAGACGTCAACCCGGGCAGTCTAATTTCATTGAAACAAAAATGGTTTTAATTAATTTATAGTCAATAATAACTTTTCCTTTTTGAAATCAAATTATAATCACTTACATTAGATTTTCATCGACTATGAACAATTTTTAATCCATCTATTTTTTTGAAAAAATTATAATCGATGATAATCGATAATTTTTATACAAATTCTAAATCGAATTGTTCGCACAAAAAATCCATTTCTATCAAAATAACCGACTATGATCACTTTTGTTTGCCCATGTTGTATTCATCCTTGCGTCTGATTTGCATATAATTCATGTTTTTCGTAGAAGTTGGTCTATGCGAAAAATAGGAAAGTTATTGTTGCACTTTTTTAATCAATTCAAATATTAAACGTTTTCATTTTTCTTTTCTTATCGATTTGTTTCATGATGCTTATCTAACCACAAAAAACTCTGTCAGGATTGGGGGGAAAAGAAAAACAGACAATGCTTAGACAGGCTTGATAGCCTTTCATAGACTTCTGCGAATCGCAGAAACAACAATAGTTAATATTGTAACATCAGCACATTGTTAAGTTTCATACTTTATTTGGTAGATTTATTTTTACCAACAGTGGGCACTTTTTCAAATAATATGAGGGATCTCTATGATCCTTTTATTTTGTTTTAAGACTGTGTATAGCCAAAGTGTGACAAGACATCTCAATTTAAGAGACTTTGTTATTGACAAAAAAATAACTCGTGTGATATTATTAAAAAAAACTTTTTGTGTGAAAACATTTTGACAAAATAAGAGGTTGCTGTAAATTATTATCGATTATAATTGATCAAAATAAATTTTGTATTGACTATAAATTAAACAATTCATTTATAATCGATTATATGAGATTATAATTTCTCCGAAAATATCAAGATTATAATCGATTACAAAACCTTTTAACCTCTAAATTTGGGAATTAAAACCAATTACAATTGTCAAAAAATCAACATGTTATTCCGTTATAACACAACATCCTGGCGTCAAAATGCAATACAGTTCCTTTCTTTTTACATTCAATACACAATTAAAACAAAAGAAATTTTTTATCACAAACTAACACATTATACAATTGCAGTTAATTCCTTAAAAATCTAACGAAAAATTGTTCTATTTTGTTTTACAATATTCGAGCCCCATCAGAGGAAGACCCAAACTTCCCCATTTTCCTCAAATAACAAAAAAAACACCTCCTCTTACCAATTTTAGTATTTGTAATATTTTTATTTCAGATACCATTAACTATTCCGAAGAAAAAAAACGAGATTTTTTAAAAAGTTTTATTGCTCTTTATCTTCTGCATAGTTTTCCATTGCAGCAGATAGTTTTCTCGCTCCTCATCTACTGCGGGGCTAGGGCTTTTTTACTAGACTGACACTTTACTAGACCGACTTTTTACCAGACCGATCTTTTACCAGACCAACCTTTTACCAGACCACAATGCAATAAATCGATTAAGATAAGTTTGAATTAGTGGACAAATAGAAAAGGAAGCGGTTAGAACAAACAAAATTTAGCTGAGAAACCGTGAAATCATTGATCATTGTCTTTAATCAGACTAAACGGCGTCATTACATCTGTCAATCAATTTTGCTTATCGAGTCTGGTAAAAGGTCCATGTATTAAATTTTCTGATAAAAGGTCGGTCTGGTAAAAGGTCGGTCCCCCTTGGAAAATTGCCTAGAAACTGACAGAAAATCTAGTGGGCAGTGCGGTCTGTATTTAGACAACCGCGTATTCAAACACTGTATTAACCAATCAGAATCGAGACAAGAAAAAATTAATAATTAATAATTATTTATTTCGTAAAATCACGACTCTGATTGGTTAAAACAGTGTCTAAAGACGCGGTTGTCACTGCTTCAGAACCATCTAGCAGTTAAAAAAAAACTATACTAGAACTAACGCCTGTCTCAAATGCTCCCCCATCTGAGATCTTTTATTTTATAAAAAAAAATTCGTTTTTCACGATAGAGTTTATTAACGATGAGTTGCTTCTATTTATGATGCAAGTTGTTAAAGACATAGCAGCAGCTCCCACAGCGACAACTACATCTGAATCAATGTTTAGAGGTAGCTGGTCCAACTACCAAGAAACGATGCATTTTTCTTTCACCTACATCCGAGAAGGTTTTGCTGATGGGACGATTTAATAAAGTCAATTCAATCCAAATCCAATCGAATTTGAACACAGTTCAGATAAGTTCAATCGGAACCTATCCCTATAAACTGTGCCGAATCTTACTACAAATATATAAAGAAACTTGAACGCAATTTTTTATTCATAAACCACCTCAGAAATTTGAAGCCAGAACAACGGCCCGGATGGCGAGCCTATCAAATCATGAAGAAAATTTCCACGTTTACGAAAAAAGACTTTGCTACACATGAAAGATTAATACAGGCATATGATTTAGCGGTATGCGCAATTCTTAAAAATTTCCCGAAGGAAATGAAATAATTAACCATCAGCAAAACATTCTCGAAAGTAAGTGAAAGAAAAATGCATCGTTTCTTGGTAGTTGGGCCTCTAAACCTTACTTGGGTAGAATGAAGATAAGAGGTGTTGAAATGCTCAATAAACAACCTTACTACTTGTTGGATTCAAAACATATCACAGTTACGACTTTTACCCCAAAAAGATCAAAAACGCAAGTAACCAGGGGCGGATTTGGGGGGAGGGGGGACTTCCTGAATTCGACTTCCTGAAGGGTCTCTCTTTGGTAATTTTCAAGAAATCCATTTTTAGCCGACCGATCCTAAAATGTTTCTAATGGCATGCGCCGGAAAAACACGATTATTTGGTCGAAATTTTCCAAAAAATGCCTAAAAATGCCTTTTTGCTCCAATTTCTTTTTCAAAATTTTGCCTAAGGCGCAGAAATTTTAACCAAAACCGTGCTTAGGGAGAGCTCGAAAAATCATTTCGGTACCTATAAAAAAGGTCGACAAAAGTTCCAAAAACCTTTTAAAAATCCGCTCCTCTCGAGAAAATCCTAGATCCACCCCAAAAAAAACCTTAACAACATCCGAAATCTACCAAAAGATATCGAGACAATCCGAGAAGGTTATTCCTCGGAACTTTTTTGTTCCAACTTTCGATACGAAAGTAACGAATTATTTGTGCTCGGGATGGGTTTTTTTCTCCAGACAAATTTTGACTTTTTAGTAGTAGCTAGCCATTTTTGACGGAAGTTTTAAACATCATTCGCAACGTTTTGTTGTCCTGAACTCAAATTTGAAAATATATTTTACCTTTGATCAATTTTTGTAGAGTTATGTGAGTTAAACGATTGCAATTTTGACCAATTGGGATGATTCACGCGGATATTTTTCGCGCTATTAACGCGTAAGCGGAGGGAGAGTTCATCCGTTGATTTGTTATGAGAAGAGAAATCTATCCTTTTGTAATTTTTATGGCCTGTGGAGGGATGGTTTTAATAAAAAAATTAAAACTTCAGAAAAAAAGTTCATTTTGTTTTATTTAATTTAATTTCTTAATGTTATTACTGCTCCATAAACTCTAAAAGGCAGTCAGATAATTTTCAGTATCAATATTTTCAACCTTAACTGCAACGGCCGCGGTCGTGCTCAAAAGCGTCATGGAATTTTATCTATGATCAAAAAAATTAACAAATCTTTATATTTTATCATTAACCTACAAGAAACAAAGATGAATAACGCTCTGGAATT